ACTTTTTTCTCATAGGCAGTATTTTTACTTTAATGATTTAATTCTCGAAGCTGTATCTTTAATGTGAGTTGTCTCAGTGAGTATGAAAATAGTCTACTTTTGATTTCTTATTGTTATGGTTGCTGAGAGATAAATACAAGTAATTTATTGTCGCATTGTGGAACTAGCTAAAGATTTAATATCAACTGTTGCTTTGCATTTAAATATTTTCTTATATCTCAGAAGGATTTATATATTCTTTTGATCACTGAAAATCTAGTATTATTGAATTTGATCCAGCTCATTTTTCAAAGCATTTAGTGCTAAGGAGAGATGGTCCAGCATATCCCTGGTTTTGATACGAATGTGAGACATATTGAATCCATTCATGAAGACCATGAGGTAGTTGTTCATATCCAGGTCATCTGCTGAGATTAGTCCTATGCTTTGGTGTGAGCATTGGCTTTGGGTGAGCTTTGGTGCAGAGTTTGAGAAGAGATGCCAGGGTGCATCATGCCTTTGAGCAGGCACAAGCGCACATGTGCAGAAGAGCCAGGGTAGAGCTGGACGTACAAGTTCAATGCACTCCATGCTGTGATGCTGTTCTGTACCATTTTCCTGTCAGCTGCAGGTTCCTTGTAAGCATGAGAGACCAGGTGAGACAAGGGAAGCTTGGACAGGCATTGCATCCAAGTGAGGATGCTGGGGAGCATGTGCAGGTTCACATTGTCAGAACTGCTGTACCCCTGGAGCAGCCAAGGAGTTGCAGGGCAGTTTTGTGTTTTGACCCATGCCTTCCTGAACAGTGGATCTAGAGCTGAGGAGATCTGCTAAATTGTGCTTATTTGAGAATCCATATTGGAGTCTCTTTTCCCCATTAGTTGTAAAGTGAGGCATTGGAGCATTCTCGCCTTCACAGGGCACTGGGAGACACTAAGAAATGAGTTACCTGTTGTGTTGCTGAAAATGTGTAAGAAACAAAATGGAAGCAAACCTTTTATAATCAGTACATTTACAGCTGTAAATTTGTATGAAGCTTGGTGGCCTTGAGATGTGGATTTTCTTTTTCTTCTGATGTTTCTCTTGTTGTTTTCTCTTTTCTAAACCAGATATTGTGCAACATGGCTTTTCACTTGGTTTGTGGATTTTTTTACTCATTTTGATAAGGGGAGAAGAAGGTTGCCTTTGTTTTACTTAGCTTTATTTTAAATAATGTTTTATTTTAAGAAGGCTATTTTAGAGTGTTTACAGTGCACTTCAGTTTTTTTAATTGTGTCATGCCCTTCCAGTCCCTTGGTAGATGAGAAGTATGTATTATATAATTTATAATTAATTTATGATGAATCACATATGATGAATACTCCTTATTAAATATTAAAGCCTTGTCTACAGTCATGGCAGTACTATGGCAATGGCATTCCTGTCTGTTCATATGGTACTATTGAGCAAACTCATTGACTCTAGGCTGTGTTGTCAGGACTCAGTTGTTACAAGAGCCCTGCCTAGGCAAACAATGTTAAGGAGAATTGGCTCTCTTTTCAGAGTAGCAGCCCTGCTATTGCCTTCCCCCTGCCCCTTGTGCGCCAGGAGTTGGGGTTGTAATGAGAGTACAATTTCTGCAAAACATAGCTAGAAGCAGAGATGGTACTGCTGATAGTTCCCCAGCTCCATAGGGGTTGTTATAAGTCCTGATTCCTTGCTGACAGACCCCTCACTGGCAGAAGGCTAAGCGGAGTTGGAGAATAACCTAACAGGAGGTAACAGTAGGCCTGGATCAGACAAGCTAGGCTAGATTTTGACGGTCCATTTTTATTAGTGAGGACTGGAATTTGGACAAAGGAATCATTTACCTGCAGAGGTCGTTCCAGCATCTGGAATTAACCAACTCCCAAATAAACCCAGTAAAATAGTGGTGAGAAACAGTGTAGGGGATTGTGTGCTGCCAGTTTAGGGCAGTTGGTCTTAATGAAGGCATTTTTCCAAATTCATAGCAATGAATCTCTGAAGCAGAAATAGTAGAGAAATCAGAAATAGAGCTCCCTGACTTCTCTGAAATCAGGGGAATCCCCCCAGTCAGAAATATAAGGCAGAAAAGAAAAAGTAGCCTTCTAGTGATGTTTTGTGCTCTGCCTTGCCTTCTACAGAGTGTTGACCTGTGTGTGTCAGTGAATGCAGCATACAGCAAGGAAAAAATGCTGTCACTGTGTGATGCAACAGACATCACCCTGAAATTCTTGCTTCACTGTATTTAGTGCCAGCCCAGCAGGCAGATTTTCTTGTATATTTTCTTGACTCTTAAGTGTTTGTTATAGCAGGTAGATTAGAAGGGGCAGGAGAGATCTGAGAATTTCAGGCAGAGAATACAGGATTGATAATTTCATATAGGATGCCATATAAGACTACATGAAAGTGTGTGCTGTTTTCCTGAGATGACCGCATCCTATGGCAACCAAATTAGGAGCAGCAGGCAAAGCATGTGAGCCCTGAAATAAAAAAAAAACCAAAACAATCATATGTGGTGAGTAACTGTGTGGCAGGAATGTAATCCTATATGATTTCAGTTAGTACAATGAAAAAGGAAGGCAGTGTAATTAATTTTGGCTTGATGGTCCAATATAACCAACTTCTGGCACATAAAGATTGTGTGATCAAATATTGAAAAATCCTTACGCCACAGTTAAAGGAAATCAGTAGTTCTTTGGACGGGCACCATGGAAGAAAGAATACTAAAACACAGGCATATTACTTCAGAACTTCTTACATATTTTCTGAGAGCTCAAGGTATAAAAATTTCAATAAAATCTAATTCTAATGACTTTGGTTTTGCTCTTTTCCCAAAGATTTCATTGGGTGATTTAATGATATGACACATTATCAGGAGCTTGTTTTAATATTGATTAAATCACACACGTAGGCAAAACTCACAGCCCTTAAAATTACATAAACAAAATTGACTTATAAGATTTGATATTAATGGGGAGTGATATCTTCATTGGTATTGAGCCTTGGATCTAATGTCACTTTATACATACAGATGTGAAAATTAAAAAAAAAAGACCATAACACTATGTAAAAATTACCCAAGGAAAAATTGTGTTTAGTAACATAGTACTTTCTTTTGTATAGGAGGAAATCATACTGGGGAAACCCTGTTTTTTGTCTTAGGGGTGGCATCAGCACTAGAATTATTATGCATTTGAAAGAAACAGTTTTCACTGAATTGTGCCTATCTAGTTATGTTTTTCTCTTTTCATTTAACTTGAATGAGTAAATTGCAGATAAAAAAATTTAGTGACTGTATCTTTTTGCATGTTACTAAGCAGTTGTTGGAATCCTCACTGATTATAGTAGGTCAGCTTATTCTCATTATTAAATGACAATGGTCATTAAAATTGCAAACATATTTCTGTAGAATTCCTTTTATAAAATGTCAGCAAGTTTGTATGTTTTTATTAGTTCCAAATCAGATATTCCAATAGATCATTTGTAAGTATTCCCAGAGCAATGTCCATTTCTGAATTTTTGAGGCCACACAAAGATATTACAAATTAATCAGATTTTCAGATTTCTGCATAATAAGTCTGCACATTTATTGTTTAATCCAATTCTAAAATGCTGTTATGATTGACAGCTTGCTGCAGAGATGGAAGTCAATTGAATAATATGTAGCAGTCAATTTTATTTGAACCTTAATATGGTGAAGGTGGGGTTTTTTTCCACATTTCCATTATTTATAAGTTGTTCCCCTTGGAGAATATATAAAAGAATTTGTTTTAAATGAGCTGATAATACCCTCTTTAAAATTTATGACAGAATTGTATCCTTTTTCCTTACAGCACAAGGATGAGCCAAGAAACTGTTTCTGAATTATCTTGCTATTCATAGGACAAACATTAGAAAAGAGCATCTTGTTAAGGTTTAGTCGGAATGGAATTTCAACCACTCATCAAAAAAAAAAAAAAAAACAAACAAAAAAAAAAACCCAAAAAACCAAAACAAACAAACAGACAAAAAAACACACAAAAAACCCAAACAAACAGACAAACAAACAAACAACAAAAAAAAAACCCAACAAAACCAGAAGATATTGTACCAATCAGAAAACCTGATGCCATTACCAGGGTTTTCTTTATAAGAGACCGTAGTACTCTTGCAGCTACATATGATACTTGCTGTCATTCTTACAACCTCAAAAATTAATGTAGGCCTGATCATCATTACTGAAAAGTTGGGAATCAGTTGAGCCCTTCACCCAGAGGAAATGGAGGATTGGGATGTAGTTTTGAAAACATCTTGGTACTTTCTTACAACTGACAGGATGTTTTTATTTTTCTTCCTCCCTTTGAAATCTGTATTGCAGATTTCAGCAAAATTTAGCAGGGCTGGACCGTGTTCTATGCTTAGCAAGTCATTAGTGTCCAGCATATCATTTGATTGTTGGATATTGATCATCTCAATAAATGCTGGAAATCCTTGGTTTTGCAGAATTTTGCTAATCCTCCACATGCAATTAAAAAAATTAGCTGTCATATGGAAGCATATTAGTTTTCATAGTACCTTTTTATTGTGCATGGTAGAGCCTTTGCTGCCTCAGTAACTGACAAAAGAAAATACTTTATTAAGATAGAAAGTAGATGTGACTTGATTGTTTTTCAGATAATTTTTGCTTTCAGAAATTGCAATGGTTGATGCTCACCTAAACATAAAAAAATGCAGTTCCTACACACACGGAGTGCTCATGTGCTGTATGTAAATTGATGTATAATGCAACCCACATTAGCTGGGTTGATGATAGCTTCAGTTTCACTGCTGTCAGATTTCTGTAACTCTTTGAATGAGCTGGCTGGTCTGAATGAACGTTAGCATAATTTATGCAGCTGATAAGCCATTTGAGTGCTTGAGTTATTGATAAAGCACTTTAACACATCATTTTCAGCTTCATGTTATGTGACATCAGAGTAGAAGGTAATGTGGCAGTCCCCAGGCTTGATATTAAAGTCAATCTGTTCTCTGGATTTCAGAGGCCAGAGGAAACACAGTGCTGCCTGATACAAGCCCAGCAGACCAGCACCAACCCACTCAGTCCCATCCTACATTTCCTGTTGGGCCTCAGGTCAGTATCTTTCTTTTTAACTAATCAAGATGGGCAATTTGATGAACAATAAATAACTGTGATCGATCATCTTTGATGTGTGTAATGTAGAAAATGTGAATCTCTTTGGCTGTATTCAGTGGTACAAAAAGGGAACACATATGTATCATGTATATTTTAAAAGTCAAGTTTGGCAGGATTAGATTTTGTATGCCTTTCTAAAATAAAACCTAAGAAGTTTTAAATATTTAGGAAGTTAAAATATTTTAATTTCTTGTGTAAATTACTTCTGAAATAAATATAATAATTTAATATTAAAATCTTGTGCAATTTTAATGCAGAATTATTGTCTCTGACAGTTATGTCTGTCACACAGAGCTCCTGTATTAGTAAAGGTGTTTCATTATCTTTTATGCCAGATATTTATTTTCTTTAGAGCAAAGTGTAGACATAATAGTATTGCACTTTATAAGATTTAAAAATATTTCCTATCTCATGTCACAATTTTATCCAAGTTCAGCTATACTCTAAGAAGATACTCAATATTCTTCCACTTCCCAGGACAGTCTTGATCCACAAAACTAGTTGTCACTAGTGTTTTCTACTATTATCAATCAGTATACAAGCAGGAATTTTTGGGAAATGTTGGCATTTACGTACTTGTAGACTAAGTTGAGTTATGTCTTCTTTCACTCATAAATTGTCTTTCATGTTTGTGTAATGAATTTTCCAGTCTAGATTCAACTGGGATTGCTACTATGCTGTTTGACTGAGGCTTACAGTTTCAGACTGTCATATTTGTCAAACTTTTCTGTGTTGGTGAAAATGTATGCCTTAAGATACTGGAAGCAGTGCATGTCTGTAATGGAACACAAAAAGATCTCAAGCCAGAAGGTTGAAAGTGTGTAATATTGAACTATACACACGAAAATAGGTTTGTATCTCTGTGGTTTCTTACAGACACTACTGACAGCCCAACAGTTAGCCTCAGCAGTAGCAGGGGTGATGCCAGGAGGCACTCCAGCCCTGAATCAGCCAATCCTTATTCCTTTCAACATGGCTGGGCAGCTGGGGGGCCAACAAGGACTCGTCCTAACTCTACCTACAGCAAATCTCACCAACATCCAAGGACTGGTAGCAGCAGCTGCAGCAGGAGGCATCATGACTTTGCCATTGCAAAATCTACAAGGTAAGTCATGTTCATAATTTTTCTAACAGGTTCTTTCACATGTTTTATGCCATGTGAAAAATGGCATAAATGCCATTTAAACTGAGTGATCTCTTTAAACGGAGTGATCTCTTTTTCAAATTAAATGTTGCTCTCCATGAATATTGAAATGTAATACCTGGATTGTTTTTGAATGCTTGAGAGATACTTAAGGGCTACTTGCCTTTTTATAGAAACACATTAGAGGTTGGGTCTTGCATTCTGTGGGTCAGTAATGCGAACCGCTTGAATGATTAATGTTTCTCTGTCATCAGTGATCAATGTTCTCTATTCACAGATCACTTGGAGATTTCAAACTATAGAATAACACAATCTTAGAATATCAAGGGTTTTGAATGGACTTTTAAATCATCTTGTCCCAACCCCACCTGCCATGGGCAGAGATACCTCCCCCTAGACCAGGTTGCTCAATGTCTTACCCAACCTGTCAAGGTTGGGACAACCCCAACCTCCCTGGGAAACCTGTTCCACTGTCTTATCATCCCCCCAAGCAAAAAATATCTTCCTAATATCTAATATAAATCTTCCCTCTTTCAATTTGTACCTATTAGTCCTTGTCCTATCACTACAGTTCCTGATGAGGAGTCCCTCTCCAGCTTACTTGTAGAACCCCTTCAGATACTGGAAGTTTGCCATGAGGTCTCCATGTGATCTTCTCCTGGCTGAACAACCCCTACTTTCTCAGCCTGTGTTCATAGGGAAGGTGCTCCAGTCCTCTTAAAAATTTCACGGTCCTCCGCTGGACTTGCTCCAACAGCTTCTTATGTTGGGGACACCACAACTGTGCATACTTCAGGTGGGATTACATGTGAGCAGAGGGGCAGAATCACCTCCTGTGACCTCCCATGCATGCTCCTTGTGATGCAGCCCAGGACTTGATTGGCTTTCTGAGCTGTGAGCACACACAGCTGGCTCATGTTGAGTTTTTCATCACCTGTCACTCCCCGGTCTTTCTTAACAGGGCTGCTCTCAATAATTTCTCTGCCCAAGCCATTGATGTATCTGGGATTGCAGTAACCCAAGTGAAGACCTTGCACTTTGCTTTGCTGAACTTCATAAGGTTTGCTTCAGCCCACATCTCAAGCCTGTCAAGGTCCCTCTGGATGCCACTATCCCTTCCTTCCCAGCAAGCTGACTGCAACACACAACTTGTTTCACCACTGCTGATTAAAGCACCTGTATGAATAGAGGCAACTAAAAATACAGTATTGCAAGAAAATAACTTTTTATAAAATTTACAATAAAGTCTGAGGTTTTTTATCTGTCATCCCTGCCCCAGATATATGTTTTTATTCTTGCTGTGGGAGGTCTGCTTTATCAATAAGGTTCTGCAATCCTCTTTCAAGCTGTTGAGAGAGTTGCATGACTCCAAAGTAACTAGGAAAAAGTTAATCTCTATGTATCCTCTCTGTTGTCTGAGATATACCATGATTGCAATGGTTCTACCCTGAGAGGCCTGCTACATTTTCCCTGTGGTCTAAAATCAGACTGAAAGTAGTTCTGTAAGATCCCTTTTTTCCCCTGTTCAATCAGTGTGTCTAACACTGTTAGGAATAGTACTCAGTCCAAGTACATATGAAATAAAATACAGATGTATTTATTTACTATTCCTAACTATGTTGCTACTTCTCAGAATGCAGTTGCTGCTGAATAGAATGGAACAAAATATAGCAAGATAAGTTTTAGCCAATATCTTACAACAGAATTGTATAGTTTTAATAGACAAGGACAGTAAAGGAAGTGATAGTCCAGTGTGAAAGTGATAAAGGTGTGAGCATTAAATGTAAAAAGAAAGCTTTAACTCATTAGATTTATTTATTGATTTATGTATTGTTATTTCTTTCCAATGTAAATAGTACAAAATATTTTCCTCCAACAAAATGCTAATTAAAAAAATTAATTCTCTGCACTGGGCTCTAAGTATCTTTTAGCCATTAAACTCTGGTGGCTGCTGATTACCAGATGTATTATTTGAAGCACCAGATCCTACAGGTTGTCAAACAGAGAAAACAAAGTAGACAGCTCTTGTGTTGAACAAACTCCCTTACAAAGCACATGCATAGTACTCTCACCTGTTGGGAGCAACTACTTGCCTTTACCTTGTGCATGTTTTAAAGTTTAATGTCAACAGACCTCTCTTATCATAGTTGTAAATGGTTTTCACTTTAATGTTTAAAATAATGTCTCTCTCATACCATTAAGCTGCACCAAAGAACCTGTCATTCATAAATGATAGATGAAAAGGACACACTAATGCACAAATTTTTCTTGTTTAAAATTTGAGAGTGCATGTAAAGTAGGAATGGGAGATTAAAAAAATAATGCAAGAACAGGAGCGGGTAAAAGCAGATATAACAAAGTGAAGGGGAAGTAGCTTTTTAGCATAGGTGGATGATGAAATCTTAATGAAGAAACGGGCATTATAAAAACGTATCCTTCCACTCTGGAGTGCTCCAGGTTAGAGTTGCTGGGTATGTAGTATTATAAATAAACATAAGCTTGTGCAGTTCTTACGTCATTTATTCACCCCATGTTGCAAAGCTGGAGGGTAGGGATTAAACCAGGCAACCTTTGCTCTTTAGTTTAGCCATGGATTTCTAATTGCTAGCTAAAAGATGTAACTTTGCTGCCAAATAAATTTTGCAAGCAATGACCTTAGGAGATGAAAAGGTTTCCTTTATAATCTTTACAGTTAGATAGAAGCCTGGGATCAAACAGGGACTTGCAGGAGCAGCAGGTTCAGTTCCCTGTCTGTGAACACAATCACACCTTCCATAATGTATCTGAAAGGAACAAATCTCATGAATTTATTTAGTTATGTTGCTGTTTGTTGTCTTCTCTACCTTTCCTTTCCAATCTTCCATGCAAGTGCTACTGCCTGACCTCGGTTTTTGGAAGTGAAACTGATACACAAGGCAGCAAAGTAACCGGGTCAAGATAGCTCCTACTATCCTGAGTCACAGCTGAAAACTGCCATTGCTTGCTCTGTAGCCCACTGTCCAATGCATGCATGAATGAAGATAGGAATCAGGTGAGAGTGTTTTGTGGTATCATCAGTTCCACTGAATCTGACTGACTTCTGGTCCCTGGTTTGTTTTTGTTTTGGTTTGGGGTTTTTTTGTGGTTGGTTGAGAATAATCATAGGATGTATGTTCTGTTTTGTAGACATTTTTATAGGTGTACTCATAAAAGCCCATGCTTGAACACAGTTTGGTAATTCCCGCTCTTTTGACAAGATTAGACCATAATCATCGGTTTCCATCTCTTAACCTCACTCTAGCATGGCCAACTTAGCAAATGGGATGACATGTTTTCATGTTGTTTTCCAACCTGTCTTAATACTCCTGTTGTCACATCTGCTGTCCCTGAATTTTCAGTGAGGTCAAGCATAGATGTCCACAGCTCTTGTGAGCTGGATCTTCTTCTGTCTTTCTTCTCTTGTAAGTAAACTTCTAAAACTTTTCATGGCAAACTACCCCAGCTACGTAACTCAAAATATACCCTTAAAACTTTTTGAATAATGTATGAATTCAGAAAAGGTCTGATCTGACAGAGTACTTGAATTTATACTTAATGTTGATCAAGGTAATTCTACTATATTTTTTGTGTTCCATATACATGTTTAAATTATTTTCTTCTCGGGAACATCCAGGTCTGGTTCAGGGTAATAAGTATGAGACCTCAGAGTGCCTAGATAAAACAATGAAAATTCTTGTTTGTGGAAAGAGAAAAGAGTACTCAGTGATAGTAACCACAGATGAGATATAGTAAGTACATAAAATGAGAAATCAAGAGTTTATTTTAAATTGGAGCAATTAATGATTGCTCACACAGTATAACTTAGTGATATTGCCTATTCTTCACTCACTTAGTTACCTCTAAAAAATATTTTTTCTCCCAAATGTGTTTGTGTTAACTTATTCAGTTGCTATATGGTCCTGATCCACCAATAAGTTGATAGGAATCTCATTGCTGTAAATGAAAAGAGGTTCAGACCAAACCTTTTCCAAAATGTCTTTTCTTCTTCTACATACTTGATTATTTTCTGTTCATTACAGCCTGGCATTTGCAATATACACCACTATACTGTATCTGTTCCCTGAGCAAATACATCAAATGTAGGTGAACAGAAGGAACAGAGGTGAATGTGTAAATTCTTGCTGTGAAACTTAGGAAAATATGTTTTCCCTGGCTTCAAGTAAGCAAATTTCATATGCACCACTAATATGCAAATAATACAATTCACTGAGATGGGAGAGGGTAGCAGAATAAAAGTATCTACCTTAGAGGAAGCAGAAATCCCTGAACATAACACCTGTGGAATTTTGAGTTTCCACCAACAGTTCTTTGAAGAAAACAGTAAAATCAGCAACAATAACTTTTTAGTGTAATCCACTAAAAGCACTGAAGATAACAGTGTAAAAACTACCCATAAAATATGTCATCCCAAGAAACTTACAAACCTGTTTTCCACTCATCATTTCTTAGAAATGGAATATAGGTGGAATATAGCCATGCTTCCTAAAATTTTGCAGGTGTCACAGCAACAATAGTGATGTTTTGAGAAGGGAAAAAGTGAGGTAGGTGCTTCACAAGACAGTGTGTTTCCTGTCTTCTGCTGTTAGTTCATTGCTTCTTGGCCTGACTTTATTGACTTAATGCAGAAAATAGTCTGACAGCTTCCCTCTTTATCACCCAATCTGGTGGGTGTAAGTACTCATCTTCCTGCCTTCAGGAAACTCTTCTATGGGCTGAACAGTTTCAGTTTTTGCATCTCTTTTACCAGGTCAGATTTCTTTTGTTTTTGAGAGGACTATGTTCTTTTTTTAAACATTTCTATAAAATTTCTATATATTTAAAATAACTATTAAAATAGTTATCCTTCTCAGAAGACTCTCCAATGAACTAGTAGTTACTTAATCTGAGTATTCAGTAATGCCTGGGAGCTGATATTCATGAAA